TTGCAAGAGTGATACAATTCAATGGAAATCAAGTCTATGAGCATAAATCCATAATATTTCTTGTTGTAACACTCATGATGAAGAAATTTTTTATAATTAAAACAACATTTTTCGAACAAAATAAAGTTTTCATCATTCTAAAATGTCCACGGTTAATTTTTCCCTAGACTGAAAGACTAGGGTCTAGAAACGGAAATTCACCTGTGTCTGTCTGTCTGTCTGTAACACTTGGTACAAATGACCATTTTTGTGGTACAAAGTACCATAGTCGTGGTACAAGTGACCGTTTTCGTGGTACAAACTGCCATAGTCGTGGTACAAGTGACCCTTTTCGTGGTACAAATGACCATTTTCATGGTACAAAGTACCATAGTGATGGTACAAGTGACCATTTTCGCGGTACAAAGTACCATAGTCGTGGTACTAGTGACCGTTTTCGTGGTACAAAGTACCATAAGCATGGTACAAGTGATCGTTTTCGTGGTACAAAATACCATAGGTGTGGTACAAATGACCATATTTTCATGGTACAAAGTACTACTTTTGTGGTACAGGTGACCATTTATTTGACAAGTAACGTTCATCGGATTCCGATTCACTCATCCCTAGACTAAAAGGCGATGAAATGTGATGTGACTAGATATGTAAATGAGACTATCAAAGGGTACATCTCTCGCTGAAATCCAAAGATGTGCTACAAGAGAAAAGCCGAGTGTTTTTAAACTTCATAATTAGAAATCAGTTCAAAATAAAAGCAATTTAAAGGTAAGAAGTCAGAACTACAACGAACAGAAACATAAATATCTAAAAGTTGTAAAAAAAGAAATAATATTCATCGAATGCAGATTCACTTTACCGTAGACTGTTGAGTGTTGAATATATTTGAATGACCAAAGAACTGGAGATTTTGAAACAAGAAATTTAAAAAGAACTAATTACTAAGCTTTCGTAGCTCGGTTTTTTGAGCACTGATGGCATTCATGGAAACCATGAAGTCTTTCTACCGTTCATAGTTAGGATATTATTAAGTGACCAACTGAAAAGGAATTTAGATTTAAATACGGAAATGTTTCGTCTTTATGTTAGAACAGGTTAAAAATATTAACCAACGTCAATTTTATATACGTTACAAAAGTTATTCATCATCCAAAACATCATCTGGAGAGTATAGGCGGCTCAAAGCCGACGCAGGCGTAGCATTGTTTTGTAAAGAGGTCTGGCAACCACGGCACACAACCATCAATCCAGTTTTCATATCGATCCCGTATCGTCCGAACAGTGCTCCATTCACGAGAACATCGAAACCAGAGAAAGTTTCTAACATTCGTCGAACATAGCCTATTTTGAGTTAGAAAACGTTTCAAAATGATGATTTCCGATCAATAAAGATCCTTACTGGTAAATCGTGAAAAATTAATTTTCAAAACAGAATTGGATATCTCGTCGCTCTGAGGTCGAAGAAGATGCAGGTTCGGAAACGATCTGATAGTTAATTGTGACCAATTTTGAGTCAGGATTTTATAGCCGCATACAGCGCAGTTTCGGTCAGTTGCCATATTTGAATCATTTTTCGCACGTGTTTTCGCCCTATGAGTCGAAAAGAAAGGAATGTTTGGTAGAAAAAACAAAGAAACTATGAGTCTTACCGATGTTGATCACGATCACGTTCTAATCTAGTATTTCGCTCCGCATCAGTCTCGCGCGCTCGTAAGTTGTGTCGGCGGTTCATTTCTTTAGCACGTTTGGCTGTAAGACGTTCTTCTCTCTCCTTTGCGTTTTCTTTTGCACGTTTATCGGCTAGACGTTTCACTTCGTATTGGCTACGTGATATAAGATGCGTTTGCTTCTCTTCGACTGTTTTTTTGACACCAAAATCGATCAATCGCTGTTTTCTGTATTGTCTGTCAATAGCCAGGCGACTCTCTTTCTGTTCAGCAGTCTCAACGAGAGCACGACGGGCACGAAAAGCTCGCATTCGGTTGGTAGAAGTCGACAAACGGATATCCATTTTCAAATAATCGTGAATGTTACTGGAAGAATTAAGATCGGTGGGCGACGAGTTGGCACCGTTATTTCGCCACAATATTGTATCCAAGTAAACATACTCAAAGAAAACTAAACTATTTATGATGAGATACTCGAAAGTGAAATTAAGAAAAAAGCGCGATAAAACACGAAAACTGAAATCAGATCAGGGAAGACTGATATTTAAAAGACAGAAAAAGCTTACGATATTTTGAAAATTAGCTAGAAAAAAATGGCAAACAATAGAATCGAGCATGTAGCTAGAAAATCCACCAAAAGGCCAAATTTACCTCGAAGACCAGATCAAAATGCACAAACAACCTCTGCGACCGATTCAAACAAAGATGTCACGGATCCAAACACAGACGTCACCGATGCAAACACAGATGTCACCGATCCAAACACAGACGTCACCGATACAAACACAGATGTCACCGATGCAAACATAGACGTCACCGATCCAAACACAGACGTCACCGATGCAAACACAGACGTCACCGATCCAAACACAGATGTCACCGATCCAAACACAGACGTCACCGATGCAAACACAGACGTCACCGATCCAAACACAGAAAATTTAGGTTTCTAGACCCTAGCCTTTCAGTCTAGGGAATACAATTGGCCCTTTTCATTATACAGATGACTGTTTCTATGGCTCAATTCACCATTTCCACGGCACAATCAACCATTTCTATGGCACAGTTGATCATTCTTATGGCTCAAATGAGCATGTCTGTGTCACAATTGGTCATGTCCATATTAGAAATGACCATTACTTTGACATAAATCACCGTGTTAGTCGTTATAATTAACTAAAACAAAAATTTTATCATATGCATTAGCATCTTTCAATATTTTTTGTGAACTATTTGAATATATCTATAGTATGTAATATACAATATGTTGAAAATATTAATAATTTCTCCAAAACTCTTCGTGATATAGAATTAATTTTTATTTAAAAATATAAGAACATCTTTGTCATCATTTCGTCAGTCTAGGGCCAAGGGAATTGACATTCAATGTCGATGAACGTTACTTGTGATTTCTTGTGATGCACATCTCTAAGCTGATAAATTTCTTAATATATGAGTTAGGGAGGATCAGTCATAGGCTCTTTTCTAGAGCGTCTTTTACTGCATCTTTCTATCATAGAGATAAATTTTTAAAGATCTGTTTTAACATAAAAAAAATTAATTATACAAATCGAGTCAGGACTTCTGGGCCACCCTTTATAGGATCGACTTCGTGGTGCAACGGTAGGGCGTCTGACTTTAGATGGGAAGGTTGCATGTTCATGGCACATCGATGTCAATGATCAACTTTTTGTTGTTCGTCCGAAAAAAGAGTAGAAGAAAAGCGGCCCAATGATAGTGTTTTGTAGCTTAGACTTGTTTTAATTGAAGCAGTCAACATTATTGGTTAGTTTGACAACAACTGTTTTTGCGCATGTATATATATGTATTCGTTTTTGTTGTGTGATATTTTGTTCGTTCTGTTTTATAATAAGTAATGCAAGAACGTTAAATGACTATGTATATAATAATATTATTTTATGATTTTTTTTTTTTTATTAAATTTTGTACTTGAACGGAACAATTTCAATAGAAGAATGAAGAAAAGAAAAATAATGAGAAATAGAATTTAGAAAGAAAAGACTTGGCACAATATGTTTGTGCAATTTTCTACTCTTTTGTCTTCACTAGAGAGAACTGAAAGTAGTTGGTTAGAATCAGAATTTCATGCTCTATGTAAATATGTACTTAGAATTATTTTCTAAGTTATGACTGATTAACTAGGAGCAAATAAATGAATGGTCGAAAAAGAGGTGTCTTTACACAGTTTTTCATATCGCCAGATTCTCGTATTTTGATTGAAACTGTCCCAGTACAAATGATAAAAAATCGTTTTATATACCAGTTTGTGGAGCGAAGCTGGTTCTACGAATTCTTTAGTTTACTCCTTCTTTTTAATCCTATAAGGATAGCTCAAAATTTGTGACATTCTAGATAACAACATTCAAAAAAAAATCCAGTTTTTGGACAATATACCGTGTTATGTGGAGAACAGCTTGTCGAAATAGGTCCATAGACTGATTTGTTGGAGCTTGAGCTTATTGTAACGCATAGTTTTGTAGAAAACTAAATGCTCTACAATAAAGGATATTTAAAACTGTACCAAAACAACACCCAGAGAAGTTCATTATTTTATTTGACGCAAACAGCAGCTTGGTTTTTCCGTTATGTGTTCACAGTTAAACAGTTTTAAGTCAGAAAAGAATTCTGACAATATATTTAGAAAGAGCATAAAATTCTGACTCACGTTGACTACTTTTGATACCTTTCAATGACATCTTATTGTCTAAAAAATGAGCAAATGTTTGTGTCAAGACATTTTAACTTTTTTTTTTTTGTACAGGCGTCTTTTTGTGGCTCATCCAATTATTTGTTCCTAGTTAATCAGTCTTATGTCAGAAAATAATTCTGAACATATATTTACATGGTGCGTTCAAAAGGGTCCGGGACTGATTTTATTTAAAAACAATAAGAAGCGCTGCTTTATTTGTATTATTGCCTCTGCGTATTTCATACAGTCCTCTATTTGTAGACATCATAAGCTCAATTGAATTAAACATATATGGGTCAAACCAGCGTTACGAAATTTCAATTTCTTTGCATTGCAACAACAATATCTCCTCGCAGATCAAAGCAAACTCTCTGAAAGTTTTGCCATAGATGGAGACTATGATGGTCTATTAAGAGTAAAAATTTTGTTCATTTTCGTTTGGTCAAACCTGAGCTATTCAAAAACCATTGACGGCTACGGAATTTCAAAAAATGGAATTTTTTTAAGGGTGAGTTGAATGTTTAGCATTTTACTACGAAATCAAGAAACATGCAAATAAACCGTCTATTTAAAAGTTGCTCAGTTTTCCACAAGCTTTTAGAACATAAAGTTAGTTTTGAACAAAGCTAAACGCATTGAATAAAAAACTAAAAATACTGTTCGTTACGGAATTTCAACATTTTTTCAAAATCGAAGTTTGGACTGGGATAAAATCAAAAAATATCAAAGCCAACCATATAAACCTTCTCAAAGTTCGATTCTGCACTAAATGGTATGTTTTTTATTAGAATCCAGTAAAAAACAATTTTCGCTTTTTTCGAGCCGGGAAATTTTCGAAAAAAATTAAAGCTTAAATTTTGAAAAACTAAATACTCCATTTTGTTCAAAATTCGATGCTAATTCCAAATATAACCATATATATGTGTATTTATGAACAAAAACACCATGAAACATTCAATAGTCTAAAAACACACTGCGAGTTTCGGATACTGATGAAATTCCGTAACGCAGTATTTATAGGAAACAGATAAGGAAAGTAAATCAAACTACACTGAAAATAAGTGTATTCGATAGAGATCGTTGAGTTCTATCTATAGATGTCGTTAAGATTGCAACAATTAGCAAGGTAAGCGAGCAAAACACATTATAAGCAAGTTTCGTTACGGAATTTCATTACAAATGGAGATGGTTTGTGGAAGCATCATTTTGTTTCGTGGATATCTAACATTTGTATAAAGGCTATGTGTAGAAAGAGTACTTCGTATTCAATCGCTTCATATCTAATTGAAGAATTTTTATTCTATTCATTTGTGTTTATTTAATGACGTATTCCACTACTATCTTTCACAAAAATTTTCGAGTTAATAATCCTAAGAAAAATTTCGTGTGTCTGAGACATTTAAAGCTGCACAGGAACAGAAACGTTTTCATTTCATACACTGTTGATCATGCTCTTTTCAATGCTAAACTCAGCTTTCTCTACTTTTGAGTTCGAACCCTCTCCATGCGTGAGTGACCGCTGGCTGGTTTTGCCCATATATGGAAATATAGAAATACATTTTAGACCACTGTATATACACTGACAGAAAATCAAAAATTTTGAGCGTCGATCAGTGAGGAAATTTCTTGTTCTAGAAAGCCATGCTCATTTAATATTTATGAATGTATGGTGATAGTTTACGATGATCGATTCTCTATCACTTACTGCGGCTTCTGAATGGG